GTCCTGGAACTCACTATGTAGACCAGGCTGGCCTTGAATTCACAGAGATCCGCCTGCCTCTGCCTCCTAAGTGCTGGGACTACAGGTGTGCGCCACCATGCCCAGCACAATTTATTAACTTTTAAAAAATAAAAAGCAGCTGGGTGTGGTGGCGCACACCTTTAATCCCAGCACTCGGGAAGCAGAGGCAGGCAGATCTCTGTGGACCCTGTCTCAAAAAGACCAAAAAATAAATAAATAAATAAACAGCCAGCGTGGTGGCACACACCTTTAGTCCCAGCACTAGGCAGAACTCTGTGAGTTCCAGGCCAGCTAAGGCTATAGGAAGATCCTGTCTCAAAAAAGACAAAATAATAAATAAAAAAATAAAAAGCGGGGCTGGAGAGATGGCTCCGTGGTTAAGAACACTGGTTGTTCTTGCAAAAGACCAGGGTTCGAATCCCAGCACCCATATGGTGGCTAACAACTGTCGGTGACTCCAGTCCCAGGGGATCCGACAGCCTCTTCTGCTTTCCATGGGCATTGCATGACACCGGTGTATTTACCTACATGCAAGCAATACACGCATACACATAAAAAAAAAATAAATAAAAATGTTTTAAAAGTTTGTTAAAAAAATAGAAAAAGCTGGGCATGGAGGTCCATACCTGTAATTCCAGCACTAGGGAGGTACAGGCAAGATCAGGTGTTCAAGACCAACCTCAAATACACAGTAAATTTGAGGCCTGCCTGGGCTATGTAAGAGCCTATCTCAGCCCAGTGTGGCAGCACATGCCTTTAGTCCCAGCACTTGGGAGGCATAGAAAGGTGGTTCTCTGTGAGATCAAGGCTAGCCTGATCTACAGAATGAGTTCCAGGCCAATCACGACTACCTAGTGAGACCCTGTCTCAAAAAAATGGTAAAAGGTGGTCTTTCAAAGCACTGGGCCCTGAGCCCTGAATACCTGAATCTTTTTTCCTATCAGGTTTAGACTGGCAGAGGGGGTCATAGGGGTACAGGGGCAGACTTGGTTGGCAGGAGCTAGGCCTGGGATCTGCACCTTCTCCCTTTTTAGCCGCCCTAGCCCCAACTATCCCAAGGGCTACCTACTTGTGAGTTGCTGTGCCCATGGCCAGGCTGGGGTACAGGGGCACAGGCCAGGCAGAGGGTCCAAGGGCAGCACTGCTCTCCATCTGGGCAATAGCTTCGTGTCACAGGCTCGAGTCCAGTCCTCTTTCCAGCTCCAGCCTTTTCCTCTGTCTGTATGTCCACTCCTCTCTCTCTCTTGGTTCCTGCTCTGAGGTTCTCAAAGTGGTCTGACCTGTTAGGCCTCTGCAACTCCTCCCAGTTCTCTGCAGGTGGCAGAGAGGGAGTCCCCACCCCCACTCTTTCATTCACAGTGCAATTCAGCCTAAACCCCACCAGGACATGTGCATTCCAAGGCCTGAAAGATGGATGTGTCTCGCGATTAGTAGACAGGGACTGTGGCCTGTCTTTAAATAACTGTTAGGTAGCTAGACACAGATTAGCAACCTTAAAGGTCTTTGAGTCTGGACCCCACCTCCTTTTTCTCTGGCAACACTAGAAAAATAAACATCAGTTTTGCCACTTGCCATTCCTTAAACCTCCTGGTCACAATAATGGAATACGTCTGGTTCTGGGTGGAGACATGACATTCTGATCTGCTCCAAAGATTAGAATTTTACCTATTGTTTCTTCCTTTAAGTGTTAATCCAGGGCCAACAGTGATGGCTCAGCAGGTGGGGGCACTTGCTGCCAAAAACCTGCAAATTGTCCTCTCACCTTCACAAGTACACACACACACACACACACACACACACACACACACACAAGTGAATAGATGTAATTAAGAAGAAAGAGGAGCTCTGACTGCTCTTGCAGAGGACCCAGGTTGGATCCCCAGCACCCACATGGCAGCTATGAACTGTCTTTGACTCCAGTTTCAGGGGAATCCGAAGCCCTCTTCTGACCTCCACAGCATTGCACAACATGAATGCATTCACATACATGCAGGCAATACACTCATACACATAAAATAAAAATAATAAATAAAATATATATATTTTTTGTCTTTTTGAAGCAGGAGGTGGAGAGATGGCTCAGCAGTTAAGAGCACTGACTGCTCTTCTAGGCCTTGAACTCACAGAGATCCTCCTTCCTCTACCTCCCGAGTGCTGGGATTAAAGGCGTGCGCCACCACGTCTGGCAATAAAATATTTTTTAAAAAAAAAGAAGAAAAAAGAGTTAATCTAGTTGAGCCTGTCAATCACTGGTCAACAGACCACCCCTCAGAAAGGCTAATTCACCTACGGCCAAGGAGACAGAGGAATAATTATCTGCTTAATGAGACAATGTGCTTATCCCTCCCAGAAGTTAAGTCCCTTGGTGCCTTCCTGTTAACTTCTGGGGTTCTTGATCTAGTTTATTTTCTCTGCCAATTAAAGAATTGAAAGGCATGAAAAATCTCAGACACAGCAGAAAGCAACAGGTAACAAACTTTATTAAAAGTAAAGAAACATGGCTGGGCATGGTGGCACACACCTTTAGTCCCAGCACTCTCTGTGAATTCAAGGCCAGCCTGGTCTAAACAGTGAGTTTCAGGCCAGCTAAGGCTACAGGGAGACTCTGTCTCAAAAAGACCAAAAAAAAAAAAGTAACGAAACATGCCAGGTGTGGTGGCACATGCCTTTAATCCCAGCACCTCAGAGGCAGAGGCAGATGCAGGCAGATCTCTGTGAGTTCAAGGCTAGTCTGGTCTACATAGTTCCAGGTCAACCAGGGCTACATAGAGAGGCCCTGTCTCAAAAACAAACAAAGAGAAAGAAAAATATACATTCACATTGAGAGAAAAACTAAAAAAAGATCCTGGACAGTTTGGGTCTTTTAAGTGTCTTTTTGGTGGTAAGGGGCAGGTCCCCCTCCCCTAATTTTGGATTGGTCAACATAAACAGAGACCTAATTGATAGTCATAGCTCCAAGCTGAAATATGTCCAGGTCTGGCCTGAGTTTTATGTGAAAGTCTAGACCAGTCAGCCAGAAAAGGGGCCCTGCTGGCTAGAGGAGGAACCCCCAGGCCTTTGTCTCAGACCAAGAAGAATCAGAAAGTGTGCCAGTTTTATTACTTACCCATGGTCCTTTCTGCTTGTTAGGGATTTGGTCCCTCATCCCCATCCGGTCTCCTTTTCTGAGTCCTAACTCAGGAAACCTTTTTTCCTTCTCTTGTTCTTTTGGATCCCGGCCAAAAGCCTAGGGTTCCCCAGCACTCTACTTCTTACTTGCTCTCTGAGGCCTTCCTCCTACCACGCAGCAGCTTGCCGACCTCCACTGCCAAACCTGCCTACTTTCTTGGACCTTAAGAAGCATGACTTTTTCTTTTCCTTTTCTCCATCTCCTGCCTCTGGCAGCTGCTTGCTGTCTTACTGATTCTTATAAAAAAAATTGTCCCGGAACTTCCTTAAGAGTCCATTTTTGGGGGCTGGGGAGTTGGCTCAGCAGTTAAGAGCACTGACTGACTGCTCTTGCAGAGGGCCCAGGCTCAATTCCCAGCACCCACTTGGTGGCTATGAACCGTCCTTAACTCCAGTTCCAGGGGAATCCGAAGCCCTCTTCTGACTTCTGTGGCAATGCACAACACGGGTGCACTCACATACATGCAGGCAATATACTCATACACATAAAATAAAAATAATAAAATATTTTTAAAAAGCCAGGCGTGGCAGCACACACCTTTAATCCCAGCACTTGGGAGGTAGAGGCAGGTGAATCTCTGTGAGTTCGAGGCCAGCCTGGACTACAGAGCAAGTTCCAGGCAGCTGGAGCTACAGGGAGATCCTGTCTCAAAAAGACCAAAAAAATTAAAATAAAAATAAAAAGTCCATTTTTGGGGCTGGAGTGATGGCTCAATGGTAAAGGGTACTGGCTGCTCTTGCAGAGGACCTAGATTTGAATTCCAGCACCCACATGGTGGCTAACAACCATCTGTAACTCCAGTTCCAGGGGAATTCACCACCCTCTTTCCGACCTCCTCAGGCATCACAACAAGTGGTGCACTTACATACATGCAGGCAATAGTCTCATACAAAAAATAAAATAAAATCCCAGGACTTAGGAGGCAGAGCCAGGCTGAGCACTGTGAGTTCAAGGCCAGCCTGGTCTGCATGGTCACTTCCAGGTCAGCTGGGGCTACAGGGAGATCCTGTCTCAAAATGACAAAAAAGAGTTCCAGGCCAGTCAGAGCTACATAGTAAAAGGTTTTTGGTTTTTTTGTTTTTTGGTTTTTTTTGTCTTTTTGAAGCAGGGTCTCCCTGTAGTCCCAGGAGACCTGAACTCACTATGTAGACCAGGCTGGCCTTGAACTCACAACAATCCACCTGCCTCTGTCTCCTGAGTGCTGGGATTAAAGGCGTGCACCACCACGCCTGGCGGTTTTATTTATTTTTAGTTTATGTGTATAACTGTTTTGCTTCATATATGTGAATGTACCATATGTGTGCCTGGTGCCTGCAGAGATCAGAAGAGGGTGTCAGATCCCCTGGAACTGGAGTTAAAGGACCATGTGGGTGCTGATCAGGTGGGTGCTGGGAACCAAACCTGGGTCCTCTGGAAGAGCAGTGAATGCTCTTAACCACTGTGGCATTTCTCCAGCCCCCCAGGAGTTCATTTTTCAATTGTGTGTGTGTGTGTGTGTGTGTGTGTGTGTGTGTGTGTCTTTTGAGACAGAGAATTCCTGCAGCCACCCAGCTGGACTGGAGGAGCTCTCTACGTAGACCAGGCTGGCCTTTATGTCATGGAGATCTGCCTACCTCTGCCTCCCGAGTGCTGGGATTCAAGGTATGTGCACCATGCCTGGTTTAAATTATTAT